GTTGACTCTAAAAAAAACCTGTGGGAACAAGGATCCTTTCCCCTAATCATCAAGAATCTCAAGGTGGAAGACTCAGGCACTTACTTCTGTAAAGTGGAGGACAAAAAGAAGGAGGTGGAATTGCTGGTGTTCGGATGTGAGTGGGGCCTGCCAGGAGGATACTTCCAGTCTGATTCCTTCCCTTCCTCTCACTCTTGCACCAAAACCAGCCCAAGCTGATGATACTGCAATAGCTCAGACAGGGATCTGCCGGCCACTAACTTCTTTCAAACCCTCCTCAGGCATAAGAGTCAGGCAGGGGAGGGAGGAAGAGGCCCAGAGAGAGGGAAAGAAAAGGGAAGGGACGGAAGGAAGGAGGAAGAGATACTAGGGGAAAAGGAAGAGGGGAGAGAAGAAGGGGAAAGGGAAACCCTGAATTGGCCAGGGGTGGGATTCTGGGTCCTGGGAGGAAAGGTGATGTTGGTTGGTGTGGGGATAATGGAGAGACACTCTTGGTTTCCTGTCCTCTTCCCTTCTGCATGGGGATGGTGTGTGTGACACAGGTGGCCTGTTCCCTCCACAGTGACTGCCAAGCCAGACAACTGCTTGCTGCAGGGGGAGAGCCTAACCCTGACCTTGGAGAGCCCCCGAGGTAGCAATCCCTCAGTGCAGTGTAAGAGTCCAGGCAATAAAAAGATAAATGGGGTCAGTGTCCTCTCAGTGTCTGCACTGGGGCCCCAGGATAGTGGCTTCTGGACGTGCACTGTCACCCAGGACCAGAAGACACTGGAGTTCAAGATAAACATCAAGGTGCTGGGTAAGTGGAGCTCCTCCCCTGGAGCCTCCTCTCTGCCCCAGGGCTGACAGCCCCTTCTCTCTCTCTCTCTCTCTGCCCTGCCCCTGGGTGTGGTGCTAGAGCATAGGGAGGCTGGGTCCAGACCTCCCAGAGCTGAGGCCTGTCCCAAAGGATACACTGGACCCCTTCATCCTCCTCTGGGTACTGATTAACAGCCACCCCTCAGTGTGCTTGACATGGCCCAAGCGAGGGTGGGGGATGGTGGTGGGGGATAGTAAGGAGGGATGTGAATGGTGCCAAAGACTCCTGGGAGAGGACCCCAAGGAGGAGTCTTTGATGTCTCAGCTCACCACTCCACTAGGTTGGCAAGTTCACCTACTTAGGGACACTAATGGCAGCAAGCCAGACCTGAGGAAATTCTACACCGTACCTCTATACCTCTGAAGGAGGCACCCAAGGTCCCACCCCAGATCATGTCCTCTGGGTGCCTCTGTGCTAGTTTGGTGCATGGACTATGAAATCCTGGCTCTGTTACAACCATGTGGCCTTGGGCAAGTTACTGAACCTCTCTGTGCTTGGTTTTTGCTATAAAATGGGGATTATGGTAACTGCATTAATACCTACCTTGTAGGTTTAAACAAATATACTTAGAGAACAGTGCCTGGTGCAGTAGAAAGCCCTACTGAAGTGATTGGTCTTGTTCTGTGAGAGGTGACAAATGACACCCCTAAGGAGTGGAAGCCAAATGGCTCTGCTGCCACTTAGGATCCTGAGGAGGATCTTGAGGACGGGGCTGTCCCCCAACAGCCCCTTCCTGTGGCTGGGCTGCTCTGTGTTGGTTTCTGGAGGAGGGAAGTGGGCTGCTAGCTGGGTAGAGAAATGGAAAGAAGACTCGAGAGGCAGGAAGAAATTTAAATACCTGAAGTGACAAGTAAGGGCTAAGATTGGACTTTCCTGGTCCCCCTTTCATCTCTCTGCTGTCCCTGCCACAAGCCTATCCTACCCAGTACACCCTCATCTTCTTAACTCCTTCTCACCCAGAGTCTCTTTCTTCCCACCTCCAGCTTTCCAGGGGGCCTCAAGCGCCATTTATAAGAAAGAGGGGGAGCAGGTGGAGTTCTCCTTCCCCCTCACCTTCAAGGAGGAAAGGCTGGAGGGTGAGCTGAGGTGGCAGGCAGAGAAGGCTTCTTCCTCTAAGCCCTGGGTCACCTTCTTCTTGGAGAACAATAAGGTGTCTGTGAAATGGATTACCCAGGACCCCAAGCTCCAGATGGAGGAGACACTCCCACTCCGCTTCACCCTGCCCCAGGCCTTGCCTCAGTATGCTGGTTCTGGAAACCTGACCCTGGTTATTACCAGCAGAAAGCTGCAGCAGGAAGTGAAGCTCGTGGTGATGAGAGGTGAGGGGCTAGGCTGAGGAGGGTAGGGCAGGGCAGGGGAAGAAGGCAGAAGGGCCAGGCCCCCGGGGGGATGCCAGGGTCCTGGTTGCCCTGTTGACGTGATCAAGGGACCTCTGGGTTTGGGGCTGATTTTGAACTGATGCATCCATGACCCAGCCTTGGGTGCTCTTTTGAGACTCCCCAAAGCACCTGCCCTAAGAACCAGGGTTTTAGTTTTGCCTGTGCCCAACACCCTGTGGCCTGGGCTAAGCCCTCTACTGACCGCAGGCCTGCTTTCTCACCTGTCTCATAAGGATAACAAAATCTTTTCTTTGTATGCTAGTAATGATGATCATGTCAAGCTCTACTGAGTTCCATGCTTCTTTATCTGCTTCTCATCATATCAGCTCCACAAATAATAATAATAGCTAACACCTGAGGCTTAGCTCATGTCAGGCCCCATTCAAACACGTTATAAGTGTTCGTGCATTTAATTACTGTCCAGAGACACACAGCTAGTAAGCAGTGGAGCTAGGATTCAAATCCAAGACCACTGGACCCCAAAATCTGTGTTTTCTCTCTCTTTTTTTTTTTGGATGAAAATATGTCCTTAGAAGCTAAAAGGTGGCCATCCTTGTAGAGTATCATGAGACAGGGTCTCACTCTTGTCATCCAGGCTAGAGTACAGTGGCATCATCATAGCTCACTGTAGCCTCAAACTCCTGTCCTCAGCAATCCTCCCACCTCAGCTTCCCAAAGTGCTGGGATTACAGGCATGAGCCACCAAGCCTGGCCTAGAGTATCTTTTTTTTTTTTTTTTTT